CAAGAACTACGATGCTCCCACTCAGGAATAAGCCCTTTTGAGCAACTATTCTTGCGCAAGAGGCAAGTGTAGATAAGCAACATGAATTTCTTGAGCAAGAAAGCCCTATGGCTAAAATGGCCATCGGCACTTTCTTGGGCAAGAGAGTGTCCACACTGCCATAGATGCTCTTGTGCAAAAGCACAGCTTGCACATGGAAGAGTGGATGTGTTCTTGCACAAGAACACTTGCGCAAGATGCTTTTGCGCAAGAAACAACCAGCGTAGACATTACATCATTGGTATTATATTTTTAAGTGCATAGGAAAAAATGCTAAACGGGCTAAGGCTTTTATAAAAATGAAGGCTGCAAAAAATTACTTCATCATGCAAAATGGTTGCCAAAAGTCATGTAAGCGCCTAATTCCCTGACATACATAATAAATTTAAAAAAAGACCTTTTGATTCTAGTTAGAGTTAGCATCTGGACTTATATTGGTTCATCTCTTTTAAGTGCTTAAATCTTTTCCACCAAATGGGTTTAATCGCATAGGAATAATAACATGGGGTTAGAGAATTATTTAGCAAGAGAACTAGGTGAAAGTATACCAAAGTGTCCTGATCAGGAAAACAAACAAACAAATTCTGAAGTTTAAAAATATCAATTGGCACCTGCACCTTCTCTTACCCCTGCACCCTCCTGGTGCCTCCTCCTTCCCTCACTTCTCCTGCCCCCTTTGCCTTCTTTTTCCCTGATGCCCACCCCTCACCACCCTCTGCCCCCATTCTCCTGTGCCCTCTCACATGACTTGTTCCATCCCGGCCTTCCTCATGCCCACCCCTTCTTTCAGGCCTTCTCCGAGCACCTCCCTTCACCCCTCTAGCCCCCAATGCCCTTACCCTCTCCCCTCCCAGCATCACCGTCCCCCTCCCACTGACACCTCTCCCCTCCTGCCATTTTTCTCATTGTCTGCACTTGGTCCCCTGCCATTTGTCTCCTCCACCCTTGTCCCTTTGGTGCCTTCCCCTCCGCCCAAGCACCTTCCTCTCCCAGCCCTTCCCCTTTCCCTCTGCACAAACCACTTCCCTCTCCCATACCTTCTGCCTTCCACTTTGTGGGGCCGGAGTCTGTGCTCTGTCCCCGGACTCCGAACCCGCAACTCAGCCATGCGGCGCAACACAGCACCCAGCAGATTTAAAATCCCGGGCCGTGACGTTACGTCACATCCGGGCGTCTCCCTACCCACAGGTTTGAGCATGCTGCGCAGGGCAGCAGCAGCTAGCAAAGGGGAGCTCAGAGAAGGTTGCACACGGCAGGGACGGGTCCGGGATGGGGGGAGAGACGCTTTGGGGCCAGGGTGGGAGGACGCTATTTTAATGCAATTTAAATAGAATATGAGTGTGACTCCAAGCTTTGCAGCTAATGGCTGCTGCTCTTCAATTTGGCTGCAGAGGAAAGCTTTAGGTCTTTCAATATGGCTACAGAAAAAAAATATTGTTACG